CAGGGCAGGTGGAGGGCAGTTCAGGTGGGCAGCAGCCTGGTGCAGGTGCAGGGCAGGTGGAGGTACCTTGTGGCCCTGATAGGACGTGCCTGCAGCCTAGGGTCGGGCCTGGCACTGCCCCGAGTCCACCTACTGTGTTGCTTCCACCTATTCCTGAGACACTGTTGGCCTGGCTCCTTCCTGCCTGACTCCTTCCTGCGCACCCCTGGGTGTCCTGCCCCAGCTGGCCTCTTTCTCCATTGACAGGCCTCTGCTGGTCAGCGAGGCCAGTGTCCTTGGTCGAGCATGGAAAACAGCACACTGGGATGGCAGCACTGTCGGCAGATGTGCCCGGGCGTGGTATGGCTGAAAGGCTGAACCTTCCTGGCCGCCTGAGTGGATCCTTGGTGCCTCCCGAGGCTGCCACTCTGTCAGCCTCCGCTCTGCACATGCACCTGGCCCGCTCAGAAACAGCTGAGCCTACGAGGGGCCCCGCTCCCACGGGGAAGGGCACCCCCTGTGCTCTGCTTGCTCTGCAGCATCGAGGCCAGGAAACGCTGTTGTGTTTACCGCTTAGAAATTCCCTTTCTGAGATCAACACACACTGTTGTAAAGAAAGCCAGATTAGTTAACAGAGTGAGCTCTGGTTTGCGTTCAGGGGTCCTCCCTCCTCCACTGCTGGGCAGGGAGAAGGTCAGACTTCAACTGTCCTTCCATCCACTGACCCGATGCTGCCAACTGTGCCTGAGATTTAGACCAAGTGGGGGTGGACGAGCAGGGTGCCCTGGGCCTTGTGTCCACTCTGGGCAGTGCATTCCTTACGCCACGGATCTCTGTGGAAAAGCTGGAGAGGGTGGGGTCGGGTGTGGACCTCCCATCCCTGCCTCTCTGCCCTGTGGCACAAACATGGCTCCAACCCTGGGTGGTGCTTTACCAGGTGGAGGCAGCCCCGGCCAGCAACCTGCTCCTGACGTCCGACAGATGAAGCTGCCCAGGGGCCCGCCTGGTGGTGTAGGGCACCACGTCCATCTTCCTCCACCTGCCTCAAGGCTAAGGGAAGTG